TAAAATTTTTTAAGATATATATATCTCAGGATCGACTTTCTGACTGAATCTAACCTTTATGTGGATATTTGCTTCTATCAAATGATATACAAAGATACGAATTGAACTACAAGTTTGGTATGCCTTGATACGATATATTTTGACGATCTAAACATGTCACAATCGAAATAGCATGTTAAGTCAGAGCCCTACGCCACACGTCCCATCCCGAGAGCTCGTACCAAGAAGATATGCCACACGTCCCGTCTCGAGAGCTTGGGGCGGTGCCGTCTGACGCTGTTCTGCACATCCCGGAATGATAATCGGTCAGAAGGGCCGTCCCATCCCTCGGGGGGTCAGCGACGACGTCAAATTGACGCACCATCAACCCTCACGCCATAGTATAAAACCCCTGACCGGAAAACCCCTGGCCAGCCTCCAGTCATGGGAGAGGCAAAAAACAAAAAGGGAAAAAGCAAAGCAATCCCTCTCGTTACTAACTTGCTTGTCGGAGGGGCCTCGTCGAGTGATCCTGACGGGGGTCATTTTTACAGGAAAATACAGCCACCTCACAAAGGCGAGCTGCCAACCACTAGGGAATCGCCATCCAGTGCATGAAGGAGAACAACCAATCGACTCGGATCCTGACTAACGCCAATCAGTACTACTTCCCGAGGACTCAGTCACATCACGAAGACGAGTTGCCAACCACCCCGGAGAAGGAGAGACATAGCTCGGCATACACGACGCCCGGATCGGCACACCAGGGAACGCTGATCAACACCCTATTGCGAGAGTCCGATCGACCTCGGCATCCAGCTCAACTAACAGAAGACTCCCGACATCGATCGGTGGATCAAACCGTGCTGACTCACCAATCACAATACATTTGTTCATTAACACGCCCCATCGTGGATGTATCATAGGATCGTTCTGCAGCTCCATGAGGTGGATGTTTCCAAGTTGGAGTCCACCACCGAAACGTCGCCCCCAGCAGTGAGTAGCCGGAGAGAACACGAAGCTGAGTTGCTGTTGGCCTTCTCCAAAGTTGGTATATGATGCCGGTCGTATTCATCGCCAAGAAAATTCCATTTGCTTATTCATCAAGCAACTCATCGGGCACGATAAAGAAGACGGCCGACGACACTCCCCACCGACAATAATGTCTTCCGGGTTATCGTCCGTGTTGGATGCACGGCTCCATGAGTGTGGGGTAGGCACAAGTAGTGAACACACATTTCTTCCCTTCTTCCCCTTTTCCCGAGCTCATCTGGTCTTCGTCGTGTGTGCTGGACCCATTACGTTATCAGGTCGATTACATCCCACCGTGATTTGCAGATGCCTTCCCGGGGAGGCACGACTGAATGATATTTTTCACGTATGTTTCCTACCCGCCAATCTCTCGTCCATCTGATCCGGGTTCCACCTATGGGACCGTTTCTACCTCCAATGATAAGGCAGGTATAAGTTGAATGATATGATTGCTCCGATTGCCACCGTCTCGGTCGCTGCAACAGACGTAGAAGCCACGTCACTTTGGTACCGCGTCTTCGGGTGCGGTCGTTGGGAAGCTGAGTCTACACTTGATCGCATACCGTCGATAGGTCTATTAAAGATAGTGGATATTACTAACCCTCGCCATCTCTCCGCGCGGCAACTGCTCTCTCTCTCTCTCTCTCTCTCTTTCTGGCACGCACACAACCACGCGACCAAACGCACGCATAGCAGAACCTTTTGGTCATGGCGGACGCCCCTCAGACGCTGATCGATGGGAGCACTCTGGCGGCCCTCTCCTTGGCCCGCGCCGGCGTGCAGCACATGTTCGGGGTGGTGGGGATCCCCGTCACCGCCGTCGCCACCCGAGCCGTCGCAGCCGGCGTCCGCTTCCTCGCGTTCCATAACGAGCAATCGGCCGGGTACGCGGCAACCGCCTATGGATATCTGACCGGCCGCCCCGGCGTCTTTCTCACCGTCTCTGGCCCCGGATGC